CAACTCGGAATAAGTTCATTCATTTATCACCATACACAATTTTATTGTTAGAATTACATTCAAAGCAATTAAAAAGTATGCTTTTTATTTATTTTAGCCCTAATCCAATGCATATACATCTAATTATTCTTTTGAGCAATTTTTAATTGGCACTCGTGAACCGACTCACCAATCATCTAGTGAGTTGACCTATATATAGACAAAGAGCACAAATCCCTTTTACTATTAATCGACGTTTTTTTTTTGTTTTTTTTTTTTATCTTTCTATTTTATTATCGTTATTTTCTTTTGGGAAAAGGGTAAAAAATGCCCTTAAACTATGTGAAAGGAACAAAAATGCCCTCCGTTTATAGTTTGACTCAAAAATGCCCTTACTGTCAATACTTTGGTCCAGAAATGCCCCTATAGTTACAAAATGGGTCAAAAAATGCCCTTTTCCGAATAAATATTTTTTTTCTTTTAAACACATCTTCTTCCTAATTAAAATATTATTAAAGAACACTATTCTTGTTTTCTTTCTTCTAAAATCACTTTAATAAATAAAAACGTAGGAAATATTTTTTTTCTTCTTAATCTCATTTTATCAATTAAAATAGAATAACTTCATGTACCCTTTGGACATATAATATATGTCATATATAAGATTATAGTATATCCATCATTAATTTATATTTATATAATGATAAAAAATAAGAAATATTTTCATCTTTAATTTTTTTCTGAATTGGAGTAGGATAAATGAAGTAAGATAAACATTTGCTAATTTAAAAAAAAACATTATTAAAAAAAGAATGTGTTAAAAATATATATATATATATATATATTTGAAAAATGAGCATTTTTGACCCATTAAATAACAATAAGGGCATTTTTTGGACCAAAAATATTAACGACAAGGGCATTTTTTGGATCAAACTACAAACGGATGGCATTTTGTTCCTTTCATATAGTTTAAGGGCATTTTTGAACCAAAGTATTAACGGTAAGGGCATTTTTGAGCCAAACTATAAATTGAGGGCATTTTTGTTCCTTTCACATAGTTTAAGGGCATTTTTTACCCTTTTATTACACTTTTTTTGAACTGAAGACCTATCACAAATAATTTATCTATATACCATAAAGATAAAAATAAGATCGATATATATTTTATACTTTTCAAATCCTGATTTTGAAATAGTACTAAATATGTTTATTGTAGTAATTATTTCATAGGAAGAGATGTTCCTTGGAATTCCACCACCCATGAATTTTCTATTTATAGTAATTCATGCCGGAAGGTGATCCCATTTTATTCTATTCTTCCTTTTCTCTTTTATTAATTATATATACAATTAGTTATATCAATTATCCATGATTTTAATTAGCTTAATTATTACTTTCCAAAATTTTTGGATAAAAGGTAAACAATAGTCTTGAATATAATAATTTTGGAGCGTTCTTAAGATCATATTGAAGAGTCAGGCGAAATGGAATAAAATTAAAGCCCTTTGTTCCTAGTTTTTCTGTAATTGAATCGAAATTAAAATTGTCGCTAACTATGATGTACTACTAGTCTATGCTCAAAATTTTGATCTGAATATCAACTCAATTATATTCATATTTTAAAAAGTATCGATCGATTGTTTACGAAAAGAGATATCTATTGAAACGAAGCTAACATAATGACATCTACTTTCTTAAGGATCCTACTATATTGACTTCTCTGAAAATATGTTGTGCCTGCATTTAGCTAGGATATGTAATTATTAATATGATTTACTCAATCGATCGTAGAAAATACCTCCTGAAAGTCAGATTCTAACGCATTTTTTATTAGTTGAAGATGATCTCGTAGCTGACGCTACATAATACATTGTATATATACTCTTTAAATAAATTAATTGAGAGTATATAGAATATATAATATATGTGTGTGACGTGTTTAATTTTGTTTCACACACGTATATGTGAGCTGAAAGTTATGGGTTCATCCACTGGTAATATAGATAAGATTCGATCCAATTAAATCAACATCACCAACTTTTGGCATGAAATTAACAGGCTACATATATATAGCTAAATATGTCAATTTTTGTACGTGTATGTATACATCAGTAAAGAATTAGGGGAAAAAATGAAAGACTGAGACAGATGAAAAGATACGACAAAATCAGCCTCGTAAAAAAATATATGATAGAGACATGTATTATGTATAGTATAGTAATCAGTATTAGTATCCAGACGATGCGCGATTCATATATAATATATATATATGCATGCATTATTCCCTTAATACTCTGGAGGAGTATAGTTTTAATAAATTGTTCACCAGTAACAATACTCTGTATATATGAATTGTTCCTATACTCTTGCATTTAACAAGTCTTACTCTTTGATCGTCATTCTTTGTGGCTTTTTATTTATTTGATCTCTATATTTTGAAAGAAATATATTTACACAATATTATAATATATTTAAAATTACAGTTTTAAAAATAGTAATTATATCTTTAAATTCGTGTCTAAATAAATAACTGGAAAATAAGGAGTTCATTTTTCCTTATATTCATTATTATTGTTATGGGGTGATTCAATTTGTTATTCAAATAATTCCTAGTTAGTTATATACATATGCATTGCAGGTAGTATTGACTAATGCTCTTTCTATCCCAATTTATGTGGCACTTTTCATTTTCGAAAGTTAAACAATTTAAGTTTGACTAGAAATTTGCGAATAGAATCTTCAAATTTTTTTAATGAAATTTATATTTTTGTAATCTACGTAAAAAGTACTGCTTATAAGTCATAATAATTGTTAATTCAAAATGTTTAAAAGATTTATGAAAAACTTATGGTCAAAGATATACTTGTTTGAATCTAGAAATCGAAAAAGTACCACATAAAATGGAACGGAGGGAATAACACTATTAATTATAAGGTGACAAGTGATGCTAATATATGATACGTGTTACTTGAGTTGTACGACTTTTTGGAAACAATCTTTTTTATCTTTATAAGTTAGAGGTAAAGTTTGTGTATGCTATATCCTCCTCAGATTTCACTCGTGAAGCTATATTTGGTAGGTTGCCGTTGTTAATTGAGGTAGAGCCGCCAGTGTGTTGATTACAGATTCGACTTAACTCAATAACTTTAATTCAAACTTTGAATTTATAGTAAAATTCATGAAATATGTACAAATTATTAATTTAGAATCTAGTAACTCAAAAAAATTGAAATTTTAAATTCATAAACTTTAAATTCTAGCTCCGACTGTGATTGTTGATGTTGTTGAATGATTCTAATTTGATGAAGCAACTTTATATGTAGTGATGATAGGGCTTTATGTAGCGGCCAATGATGGTGCGATATGCCTTTGCTTCCTCCTTAAGCCATTTTCCTCGTCCAATCACCATCTCTTCTCACTTTTTCCTTATTTGTACAAACACTTTTCTCTATTTTCCTTTCTCTAAATGTTCTGCTGATCCAACCTTCCCTTTTTTCCATGCATTATTAATCTCTATACTATTTATATTAGCTTATAACGCGACTTTTATTTAAAAATAAAGTGAATTTACAAAGAACATGTAACGTAATATTAAACTTTGTATACATAACTTTTAGGAGCACTTCATCTATATTTTAGTAACTACCACTAAAATAAAGAATTTAATCATCAAAGTTAACATTGAGTTCATCACGTTAATATCTTTTGATAAATATCTTTTTAATGTACGTAACTACTATATTATTATCACTAATATTTCTTCTTCTTTCGTAAATCTAAAAAAAAAATCGATGTAAAACTGCTCAGGTGCAAATAGAAAATTATGAAGGTAATATATGCCATTTAAAGGCAAAAGTGGAAAGCAAACTGTCGAAAAAGCGGAAAAAATAAAATACAGAAGGAAAGAGAATAAATTAAATTGGTAAAATATTTTATGAACTGTAGTAAAAAAGTAAGTGAAAAAAGTAGCTTTCACAACATTCTCCAATGGTACATTTTTAACTTAGTAACTTACCAGAATTTGCTGGAGAAATCAATATGTACTGAATTTCTACTTCAGTACTTCTCATGTACTGAAAATGGAATTGTCGTAAACTTACGTTGCTTAGAATCTTTAAATATCTCGTCAGATGATATGTGTAGGATCCTTTCAATACATTATATTTTCGAAGGATTCAACACGAATGTGGCAACATTTTTAGAAAGTTCAAATAACAAAAGTAAAAAAATTAATGTCATTTTGCGACACCAACTATTATATATTCATACAATTTAATAATTGTTACTAAAAACTTTAGAATTAAAAAAAGAAGAAGATACTACATAAGTCTTGGTGAATTCACCTCCAACTCTGGTATTTCACCTAATTAGGCTCACAAGAGACACTACGTACCCTTATCTACATAACAAAATAAATATATGTATTGTTTTTCATTCCTCCAGTTTCCCAAGTATGGATCGCAATTATTCATAACTAGTTAATTTGTCCGCACAGTAATTTCTTTTCCATAATTTTAATTTAGATAGATGAAGATGAAACTTTATTTTTCATGTATATGCATCAAAACTAAAATTTTATTAATTAAGTAATTAACAAAATATAAATATTTCGACTGAGCACCAGGTTTACCTCATGTTGAGCATGATTAATTAACATGTTCATTTTTGCAAAAAAAAATACTACTCCACTAATTAATTAACAGTGTGAAAGTAGAGGTGGGAGAAGGAAAAATGAGCTTTATGCATACCATCAAAAATTACAGTGGGATGAATATGATTCTTTCATCATTAATTAAAGATTTTAGCTTCGAATTATTTGAGTTAAAGAAATATTGGTAGGACGCAAACGTCTCCTTTTTGATAAGCCTATGTAATATGAATTTGAATTAGTTAGAGTGTCAAAGCGAGTATCAGACATCAGATAAAAGCAAAAAAGAAGAGTATTTTTGCATGGTGGGTTTAGAGGCGGATCCCTTGCACACGGTTCCATAGCCTTTCTGGACTCTTATAAAAACCCTGACACCCCCATTCCTTGTAATTGCCATCAAAACATCTTATTTCAATAGCAATATCTCCTCAAAAAAAAAAAAAAAAACTTCACAATTCAATTTAATTCCCTCTCTTTGCTTTCAACTATCATCCCTCATTTGGATGTTGTTGTTTGCTTAAGGTAATTATAACTAACACTTCTTTTATTTACTATTACAACATCTTTTTACAACTTGAAATTTTGTTCATATATAATCATATATCATAACTTTATACTAATTTTTCTCTTAAACTTTTCATTCCAGAAGGAAAACAAACAATTCGACTCAACTCCTATTTGTTTTAATCCTCAAACTATGAGTATCAAGAACTTCAAGATGGCAAAAGAGGCACAAAAACTTAGTATCGATATCCCACTACCCCCAACTAAGATGGGGATAGTGAAACAAGGCATAGTGTCTATTCTTGGAACAGACACTGAAAAAGGAAACAAAGGTGTAGCTGCTTCAATTAGGAGAACCCTTTCAGCTGATATGTCATCAAAGAAATGGCTATCAGAAAATGGTTTCTCTCCTATGAAGAAAATTGCTTCCTCAAAAGAACTTGATGTTCTTGGACAAGATGAGATTTGGAGATCAATTCAAAATGGTGGTAACAAAACATCAAATGATGTTTGGAGTTCAATTTTAACTCAAAAGAAAGAAGAGTCATCTACACTTCCACCTCCTTATATTCATCCTCTTTTGAAAAAATCAACTAGCTCTTTAACTGAAAAAAGTCTTGAAATTTGTACTGAAAGTCTTGGATCAGAAACTGGTTCTGAAATTATTAGCCTTGATGATCATCTCCAAAAACAAGAAGAAGAAGAAGAATTGTCCCCTCAAACATTTGAGGAATTTCCTGTTGTTAAGTTTAACCATAACAAAAAAACATCATCTCCTCCTCTTCCAAAATCATTCCCTCCAACTATTTCTTCCATGGCTGCAGAGGACAAGCCCTCTGTTCATATGCAATCTCACAGGCAGAATGGTAGATTGATTCTTGAAGCTGTCTCTGTTCCTCCTCAGAATCATTTCCGCGCTGAACGCGTTGATGGTCGCCTTCTTCTCACCTTAATCATCACCACTTCATCAGAAATTGAAGCAGAGGATCAACAAGTGTTTGACGAAATTCAAGAAGTCGAACACAATGAAACTAATGATGATGATGAGGAAAAAGGAAATGATACAAAAGGGATGCAAATTGTGCTTGAGCAAAAATCAAGATTGTCAAATGGGAGAATGAATGTGAACACATCAACATTGATGATGAAACAACTCATGGGTAATAAATGGCCTAACAAGATGAACAACTCAATTAAATTGATTGAACATGAAGATGAAATAACCCCAATTATCCCACAAATCCCTCCTCATCTAATCACACCTGAAGCATCTCCATTCAATGCCTATAACTATTTCTGGAAGAAAAATCCCAATCCCAATCCCAGTGTGACAACCATTGTCAACAGTACTACTCCCATTGCCAAAAGTACAACAAAGATAGCAGAGCAGCAAGATTTGGTGTTAATGAGAGGAAACAAAGGGAACATCAATTATTTGGTGCCTATGTTGAAAGGATGCAAAGAGAAGAGGAAGTCTCTACTCATTTGGGAGCCATATTGCATTGCAACATCCTAATAATCATCATCATTACTTGTCTAATAATCCTAATGTTTAATTTAATTAAGTAGAAACATCATAACATATAATCTTATAAAGTATAGTATATCACAAATAAATGGGGTAATGTAATATAATATGTAATGTAATTTTTCCTCTCTTTGTAAGTTTAAGCATACTAGTTTTTACTCTTTTGTTGAAAAAGAGTTTCCTTTAGCCAAATAAACAAAGAGAGAGATTAACTATATATCAATGTCTTTGATTTTCATAGGATTTGAACAAGGAAATTAAACATACAGAAGTTCATTTTATATATTTAAGCTTATATACGTGTGTTTTAGTTAATAATGATGTTATAATAGAGCTACTAATTAAGATTAGACAAAACTCTATATTATGATCCGAGTTTGACTTGGTGGTGTGTCATGTCTGTTTATTTGTCTGTCTCATTATCAAATGGGAATTTCCTTTTCTTTTTTTGGTTCTTTATTACTTAGCTTTTTGTCATTCTAAATTATTTCTAATGATACTCGACACGTATAATAAACTCATTATTATATAGAATTTGAAAGAATTAACTTTGATAACATGAAAGTAAGATAAATTACCTTGTCACAACTAGTTACACAATTCTATTTAATACAAACTTTTAAAAATTATCGATGTATACAACTTAATTAACTTCCATTGATATAACCATTTCTCTTGAGTTTGAATTGCATATCATTTACCATTCAAGAACGAATTTAGTGTAAATGTTGTAGGTTCATCCAAACTTAGTAATTTTGGCTTAAATTCGTTAAGTAATAAATTTTGAATCGAATGAATATATGATGGTATTTCGAATTCAAAATCAGAGAGTTCAAATTCTAAATAGGTCTTAGTCACTATCACACTCAAGTTGTAAAATATGCATGCTCTACTTGGTAATCCTTCAACTATGTTCCCAAATACTTCAGCATCACAAACTTTATGTATGGGTAACAGCATACTATATATATATATATATAAATTGTCCTTTTAATATACATCACACAATTCACAAACATACAAAAAAAAAATCTCGAAGAGAAAAAATGAGGGATCCACAACTCCATATTCGGAATTGACGTGATTTCTTGTATTCTTTTCTCATAAATGATTCTCATGAAGTATATCAGGATTATAAGATTCCAAATTATACTACAGTTAGTGCAGATTTACCATATAATATGTGGGTTCACGTACTTAATATCTTTTGTTCAAACACTATATACGTATTAAAAGAAATTGTGATGTATGATGAGGGCAGATAACAGAGAAAGACTGACAAGCTTCTAAAGAAGTGATGCATATGATATCTTAGGTGAATCTCACATTGCATTGAAAAAGAAAATTAAGAATATTATAAGGCATGTTGCAAATTATGCACACTTTTGACTCAATGATAGCGTAGCCTAAAGGACTAATTTGTGAGACAAATAGAATCAAAGATACGTGTCATGAGCTTGAGTTGTGATAGAAATTCATAATATCTGTATATATTCGATTTTGAATTAGTTATTATATCAACTTAGTATCATTATAGGAATTCATAAATTTTAATTTTTTAATTATTTGATATCACTTTAAAAATTTATAAATTTAAAATTCTGACTTGACCGTGAAAATTAATTCTACACTACTCTCAATTTACATAATACGTACAAGACACACACAAATACACATATATTCTAATGGATGCATTCCTGTCCAATTCTAATCTTGATCAAGTGGGAACTATACCTAGAGAGATTCTCATGTTAAACTAATCTTTAAATTTATTCCATCTTTAATGATGGTATTTTCTTAGATTCTGTCACCCTCACCTTTTCTGAAAATATACATTTAAATTTTTTTATATTTTTAAAAAAATTAAAATTTTATAAACTTATTCCATCCAAGAATTATTCTGATCAGTGAGGCCAAGAGGTGATGCAGAGAGCTGTGTTATAAAGATGAAATGGATAGTGGACAGAACCATATGCTCTTTATCCATAACCTCTGGTCTCATTTGTTTCACTAATAATAATTCTTTTTAAAGAGTCATTTTCCTCAAGTGCCTTCTTATCCCATTTTTCCTAATATAGTAATAGCACCACTTAAAAAATTAACAAACTTTTCTTAAAATAATATTTTGCTCATCACCCTTAAAAATATCAATATCATTTAACATGCATGGTAGGTGTTTGGACAATAATTCATTTGAGTTAGAAAAAATAAGAGAATTTAAAATTGAAGTTTGCAATGAGTATATATATATATGTTGTTTGTGTATAAATTTCACAAGAAATTTGCGAGTGAAAATTATTATCTTGCCTAAAAGTTAACAATTAAGGAATCTTCATGTAAATAGTCGAGCAAATTTACTGCTTCTTTTTTCTAATAAATATACATAAATTACACATACTATATTTTAGCTTGACGAGGAATGAAGCTTCGTATTTGTTATAGTAATAACGTACGGGAGCGCAAACAATACTACAATGATTTCTTCAAATTCCAACTGAAACACCACTGCGCTGCATGTAACCTTTTGCAAGTGATTATTTAAAAAAATAAAAAATAAAATTTGCTTCAATTATTTTTAAAAAGTCAAAAAGGGGGCTTTAATTAATGGAGTCTCCTTTTAAAAATAAAAAATAAAAATTCATCCGATGTCCAGTACACATATTAGAGCCCAATTAATTTGTATTCGCACCACGTAGGACAAACGCTCCCTATCAAGGATTTTTTCATATCCAAAACTTAAAATTCAAAACTTCTAATTTAGAGAAGAATAACTTTATTTACTGAACCACGTTCTTTACTGATAATTGAGTCATATATACAATCATTCATCTTTATGAAGCCTTTATATTTTAGGTAGATGATGCTAGAAGATAGACAAAATCTCATGAGTTATTTTTATGACTTGGTGGAGGGTCATGTCTCTATTTGTCTAGCATCAAGTGTGAATGCTTTCTTTTCATCATTTTTCCTTTTTGTCATTTCAACCAATGGCATTTCACCAAGAGTCTTGTCTGTCTGTTTGATCTTGTTTTTGGAAACATCATAATCCATTGTTTAAGGTTTTGTCAAGGACAGTATGGAATATTTAATTTATCTTACTTCATGATTAAATACATTCTTTTGGTGTATATTAGACACATGATTTACGTGTTTTAATTTGCAATATATATAGTACGTATTCGAAAGGTACCGTGCATTAAACATTAAGGGTGTGTTTGGTATGAAAGGAAAATATTTTTCATGGAAAATAAGTAGATTTTTGACTTATTTTCTCATGTTTGGTTGGTGAGTAGAAATATTTTTCGGAAAAGACTTTTGTGTGTTTGATTTATGATTGAAAAATATTTTTGAGAAAATATATTTTATTTTTACTAGAGAGTAGAAAATAATTTTTGAATTGAAACTGATAATATTTTTAAAAATAAACTTAATTTTTTTTGGGGAGGGTGGGGTGGTGGCAGGGGTAGGGGGGAGATAGGGTAAAAAAATAAAAAATTGAAATTGAATTTTTTTTTTAAAAACAAACTTGATTTTTTT